GTTTCCGTTCGCTGTCGGTGTTGTCCCGAGGACGAAGAAAGACCCATCGATCGCGAATCTACCTCTCTCGCTCGGCCAGACGTCCTTCCTCCGAATTTTCGGATGGCGCGATAAAAGAGAAAAAGATCGGAAGCACGACTCGACACGGATGGGCACGCATTCTTCGCCGCGCGAACGTCTATCCGTATGCAGGGTGTAGCGTACGTACGCGACGTAACCGATCGTAGACGGTACGCGCGCACGAGCAGAAAACGCGTGGCACATGCAAGCGTCGATCGTTTACGCGTTCGATGCACGTTTCCTCCGTGCGCGCTTCTACGTGCATACGCGTCGAACGTACAGTGTGCAGCGACCAACGCGCGTCACCAACGTTCTATTCGAAAGAGAAGAAGAAAAGAAAAAGTAGCGGAATAACGGAGATCGCTAGGTCCAGGAACTCGTTTTCGGTTCGTCGCGCTCCTTTTTTTCACCGTTTCGCCGAGTTTCGCCGAGTTTCGCCCCGTTCTCGACGATCTCGAAAACTCGCGCAAAGTTCGTTCGACGGATTCGCGTTCGCGGCGTCCTTTCGACGTCGCGCAAACATCGTCGGGTTTGATCGAATCCGCAGATGCGCATCGTTACGACGGAACAGTATCCGGCAAACGAACAGCGACGTTGCGTATTAATTTGTGAAAAGTGCGTTTAATTATTCGGATCGTTACGAGTACCTAACCGCCCCGTGGACCAAAAAGCCCGGTCGTCCTGCCGCGATGCAATTAAAGTCGAACGTAAACCGATAGGGAGAGGCTGTTACGCGATACTCCGAGGTAACGATTACGCGAGCCGTCGTAATTTATTACCGCGCCTGCTCGTTATTCTCGATTGTAACGTAATTCGGTAATACGGCCTAATTGCGGTCTTAATAAGACCGCGCGCGACCCTCCGCGTCTCCGATTGTCCTTTCTCTCGGCAAATTCCTCCGCGATCCGTCTTATCCTACGGGCCGTTCCGCCATCTCGTTTTTCCATCCGAATCGAAACCGGTTAATCGAACAATTCGTATCGATATCACGCGCACGGATCAGCGCGTGTCTCGTCGCTTACTCGATACGCGTCGCGGCCCGTCGCCGGGGAAACGTCTCCGCTCTGTTCTTTCGATTTTCGATCGTTTCGCGAAACCGGAAATCGACGCGATACCGGAGAACGATCGGGACGAAGGAAAATAAATCGAAACGATCGAGCACGGTGTTTACGAAGCTTTCTCGTTGGCGGACAACCGAGACTCGCCTCGCGCTTACATGGACGCTGTTCGGACGAAAAGGTCGAAAGAGCGAAAACCGTGAAGAGAAGCCGGAGAAGCACGAAACTCGCCGAACCCGTACGATCGACCTACGCGCGC